GTGGAGTAGGTTATTGTAATTCGTTGTAAATCATTATTTTGAAGCTATCAGTAAATATTCTTTTTGCCTTTTATCTTCCTTGTGCTCCAACACGTGTCACGTACGGGTGACACATCAGTAACGTGTGAGCGCATAGGTAGTCAGGTCAAAATCTGTGTGAACGCACGAGTTACACAGAAATACCGTGTGAACGCACGGGTAACCAGGCCAAAATTGGTGTGAACGCACAGGTTATTACATTTTTTATACAATTACAGAAAATAAAAGTAAATATATTTAAAATAATATATGAACCGAAACACGAAAAAAAAAGTATTATTTTTTTAATTATTTATGTATCTATTATTTTATTTTAAAATTATTTTTAATTCAAAATACAATAGATAATATATGAATAATTAAATTATTTATTATTAATGTCTTTCTTTTAAAAAAATAAACTATTTTGGTAAAATTATTTTTCTTATATTTTGATTAGGCAATTTTGTCTTTATTTATTTATTATTCTATTATATTTTGAAAACAAAAGCGTGCGTATCATACCACTAAAACAATTTTGATATAATTAATTTATTTTTAATTTAACAATATCTCTTTCTTTTAATAATATGATCAAAATATTGAATGTTAAAGGAAACATGAAGTTACTGATAAAAAATTGAATATTCACAAGAACATAAAGTTGCTAATCAAAATAGTGAATATTAACAGGAACGTGAATTTAATTAGAAAACTATTAAATATTAACAGGAACATCAAGCTACTGATCAAAATATTGAATATTAACGAAAACATAAAGTTACTTATGAATATATTAAATATTAACGGAAACATGGAGTTATTGATCAAACTATTGAATATTAACGGAAACATGAAATTACTGATTAAAATATTGAATAATAAAAGGAATATTTAATTACTCATCAAAATATTAAATATTAACGGGAATATGAAGTTACTGATAAAAATATTGAATAATAACATAAACATGAATTTACTAATTAAAATATTGAATATTAACGAGAACATGACGTTATTGATCAAAATATTGAATATTAACGGGAACATGAAGTTACTGATCAAAATATTGAATAATAACGGAAACGTGAATTTACTGATTGAAATATTGAATATTAACGAGAATATGACGTTATTTATCAAACTATTGAATATTAACGGTAACATGAAGTTAGTAATCAAAATATTGAATATTAACGTGAACATGAAGTTACTGGTCATAATATTGAATATTAACGAAAACATAAAGTTACTTATCAAAATATTAAATATTATCGGGAACATAGACTTATTGATCAAACTATTGAATATTAACGGAAATATGAAATTACTTATCAAAATATTGTATAATAACGGAAACATGAAGTTATTGATCAAACTATTGAATATTAACGGAAACATAAAGTTACTGATCAAAATATTGAATAATAATAGAACAACTTTATTATTGGTTTAAATATTTTGTACAATAATTCCAAAACAAAAATAATATTTATATATAAATAACATATATGTTATTGATTCAAATATTTTTATATATCGAAAGAATTATAGACACTGATTTATTATCTCTTTTAAAAAAAATTGATTTTACTTTTATTATATTTTGGAAACAAATGCGCACACCATACCGGTACCCGTGTGAACGCACAGATATCCCACTAAAAAGAAAAGTTCGTCTGCACCAGAAAATCTAGAGACTTGCTGAGAAACTAATATTAATGAAAAAATATCTAACATACTAAATAATAAGTATTTAGTTTGCAAATTAAATATATCTTACCAAAATATTTTGATTAAAAATTATATGTGTTTGCACTTTATACTCAAGTGAAACAGTATAAATGATATAAATAAGAATGATATGTTTTTGTTACTATTTAAATTTTACATTATCTATTTAATTAAAACTATTCTATTTTATTGATTTATACTCATTGCACAAACTAACAATGCAAAATAGAATTTTACAAATTAAATTATTCTTTTATTTAAATTATTTTTTATTATAGATAATATCATAAAATTTGATTATTTTTTCTTTCTAAATGAACTGCTTAGTTCAATGAGAGTGTCAGACCGGTACCCGTACAAATTCACGGGTATCATACTAATTATCTATAATATAAGAAAATCCATTCTACCCGTGTGTCGAAGATGCTTAACCTTGTCCATCTCATGAAGGGTTATGGTGAAACCCTAACGGATAAGATGATAGTTAAGAAGGTAATGCGTATGTTGACCTCTCAATTTGGTAACATTATCGTAGCTATTCGAGAATCCAACTAAAATTTTGGCACACATATATCAGATGTCGAACTAGATATCACAACACTGCTATCAGATCAATCACAACAACTAAAACAATTATACAAGTAAAATAAGTTGCAAAAAGTAAAGAACATAAATCAATTGTTAAACCAATTTGGTGCAACGTCACCTACTCTGGAGGCATCCAAGTCAGGAAGGAAACACATTAAAATAGTATTAGTTTGAAGTTTTAAACAACCCTTGTTTTACAAACTTATCACCTAATCACTACTCGTGTTATTTCTATCTAAGACCCTCCTAGATATGAGATCTCTCTCACTTCCCTTTAGTCACAAACCAGTGACAAACTAACAATGATAACTAAAGTAGAAGAGCACTTCTTCAAAGACAAACAATCAACTCTGTTTAAAAGCTTTTGGATGAAGAACAAAGGTAACTTGACCTACAATCCACTCTTGCTTAAAAGCTTATGAGTGATTGACAAATAACAACTAAAACTCAATTCAACTCTAATATTAAAGTGATAAGAAGTGGATCACAATGAACAAAGAACAAACTAAAACCCTAAACCCTTATCTCATGCACACATCTTCTCCAAGTGTTTTTGGTTTAGAAAGTCCTTATAAAAAGACTCTTAGCATGAGTTTGGACTCTTCACGCAAATCAAATATTCAAGCTATAAATCTTCTGTAAAATCTTCTCTACAAAAATAGGAACACAAATATAAAATTTCCTAAAAAGTCTCCAAGATGCTTTTTATGAAACAAAATAAATTATGTTATATAATCAATGTTCCTAAAGTACCCTCCTTAGTCTGATGAGAACTAAACCATTCAAAATCTCATATTTTAAAAACAAATCTTCAATAAAACGAGGATATTTGATCCTCCTTTCATTGATTGTCAAAATTTTCTCTTCTAGGGCTTGAAGAGAACCATGAAGACAAGAACACCTTAATCTCATCCCAATGAATAAATGTATATTAAAGAAATATAAGCCAATTAGATCAAAAGATAAGAAGGTAAATTTTAGGGTGCAATAACACTTAGCAAACGTGCTAGCTATTGTGTTATTGTTAAATTGTAAAGAGAATAAGTAAATGTGGTATAGATACCTATAATATTGGATTAAACCAACATGGTGCGAAATAATTAATTAAAAGAAGTCTAACCTCATCATATAAATTGCATTTGGATTCTTGAAAAGTTGTAGGTTTATCTTGAATCTAAATTTTTAATGTTTCACCAATATAAAGTGAATATTTTAAGAAGATGAAACATTAATCATATGAAATACTAGGGGTGTTCGCGGTTCGGTTTGAATCAGTTTTAAAGTAAAAACTCATCCGATCCAAAGATTAATTCACTTAAGGTTCGGTTCGATTTTGGATGATATATTTAAAAAAATCCAATCTGATCCGATCTAATTTTATGCAGTTTAATTTGGATCGGTTTTTGAATATCCAAATTACACATTCTATTTTTATTAATATTATAAAACTACTAATAAATCATAGATTTGATATAATATATAACATATAGTATATTAAAAGTTAATATTACAAAATGAGAGTGATTGATTATGCTTGAAATAATAAAAATAAATAGATCATACCAAACTAATAAATATTATTAAAAAATTATTATCATCTAATAATAAATTCACATATCATGTCATACTAATAAAAAGTAAATAAATATCAAAATATATTTATGCGGTTCAGTTTGGTTTGGATCAGTTTTGAAAAATTCATCCGAAATCCAATCTGAACCGATCGATTTTCATAAAATAACATTCAAACACAACCAATAACTTTCGGTTTTTTATGGTTTTCGATTTTTTGGATCGGTTTTCGGTTTTTTATTTGAATTGGTTTGGATAGGTAAAAGTAGTGGGCAACACAAAAAAAAAAGTTTGCACAAAATTCTAAATAGAGATAAAGTATAATATATTGATATATGAGAGGTTATAATGGTTAAAAATTGTACTTTACATAGATACAAAACATAGTCATTTATAAAGGGCAACTTTATACAAATCAATTATAGAGGGCAACATTATACAATACATAGTCATTTGAAACTCTTCATACCTCCATCGCCATGGACAACTAGATTGAAAGTTCGAAATTTGGAAGAGTTATATAAGTTTTTTTTAAAAAATCAAGTGCTTGATAAATATGAATTTTCTAAATAAACTCAGTAAAGTGTTTTAATATCCCATCTTGTGTAAAGAGAATGTTCAAAAAAGTACAAACAAACGTCTTAACCAAAGATTCAAAGTGGGATGGATATGTTTGAACAGTGAAAAATTTGTAAATGTTACTTACGTCTTAACCAAAGATTCAAAGTGGGATGAATATTTTTGAACAGTGAAATCTTTGTAAATGTTACTTACGTCTTAATCAAAGATTCAAAGTAGGATGAATATGTTTGAACAGTGAAAAATTTGTAAATGTTACTTTTGGGGTCTCATTACATCAAACAACAAAATAAGTGTCTATCACATAAGATTAAAAAATCTAAACAAACAAATGAAGGCAGAAAATAGTAAATTCAAAAACATTCACATAACATCCAAACATAAACATTAAAAGTAGCATTTAAGCCCGCAGCACTAAAGCAAATGTTCAAATTGCAAACAGAATGCAGTAAACAAAAAAGTAACATAGTTGCCAATAGTTTTTGATAGTGGCATGCTGTCACAGATGATCAGTAGTAGTAATAGTCTTCTTGAACTTGGCCAGCTGCAAAAATATAAGATCCATTAGAATTTATGGTCCTTCCAAATACAAATTGAAAGTAAATGATTCTATTCATTAGTTTTCATATTTTCAATTTCAAATCAGCTTAGGATTCAATTTATTGGTAACTCATTTTTCTTAAAATTCCAAAAGATATATTAAATACAAGATATACCAAGATGCCACAAGAGTAATTGGGAAACCAAATAATTAAGAACTCAGAAAAGATTTGAAGTCTAACCTTCAAGATTTTTACCCCAACTTGCTTGAGCATCAGCTTCTCTATTAGAAGCCTTAAAACATTAAAAAAAAAAGGAAAGGTATTTGTTAAAATTACCATAAAATAAGGGAAAATATACAGGACTAATGACAGTGGTGCCATAGATCAAAATCCAATTAAGAAAGATGGCAATTTGAGAAACATTATTTCATTATGTCAATAAACAAAATAGAGCAGAGGATAATACCCTAGGAACATGTTCAACAGTGACTGACTTGAAATTATCCTTCAAGTCCAAAGTCTCATTACGCAGGTCTCTTAAATTCGGGTTATTGACTTTCCATTTACCTGCAAACTGTTGCAAAAGCAATAAAATGTCATGGTAAATTTTTATATAGCAATAAAATGTCATGGTAAATTCCTTATAAAAAGGAAGATATTTCGTGAACAATTAAAAGAACTAAACTAACCTGCTCGCAGACAAGCTTGGAATCACCTCGGATTTCAACATGATCATACCCTTTATTATTGGCTTCTTTCAATCCCAAAATTAAACCTTGATACTCAGCAGAATTATTTGTTTGAGTGCCCAGTCCTCGACTGAAGCGATGGACCTTTAAAGAAATCCAAGATTTAGCGACATTTGATATCTAGTTTATAGTATATAGTTACAAATATGAATAGATACATAGAGTGTACACCTCATTCCCAGAACGCAGTACAGCTCCTGCACCAGATTTTCCAGGATTTCCACTGGATGCACCATCGAACTCGAGAGTACAGTAACGCTGCAAAACAGAATTATGATATTAAACATTTCCAATTACACAGTCATATGTGTGTGAGCCTGTGTGCTACAAAGCATTGTGTATAAACAAATAAAATAATAAGCAAATTAACATAAAAATAGTTAGGCGCGTATGAATTCACTACACCAAATTTGTCTTTTAGCAGCACCCCTACTAAAGCGCTTTTTGTAAAAGCGCTGGTATAGGTTGCACTAAAAACAAAATAAAAAAACACGCTAAAAAAGCGCTCTTAAAGGGGGGGGTTACAAAAGCGCTTTCAGAAAGCGCTCTTAGAGGCTGGGGTACGAAGGCGCTTTTGAAAAGCGCTCTTATAGGGGGGGGGGTATGAAAGCGCTTTCTGAAAGCGCTCTTATAGGGGGCTTATGAAAGCGCTTTCAAAAGCGCTGATATAGGGGGTGGGGTACAAGAGCGCTTTTATCCTCAAAAGCGCTGGTATAGCCTTAGTTACGAAAGCGCTTTTCAAAAGCGCTGTCATACCCTCTTTACAATTAAAATTTTTTAAAACAAAATTATACTAAACGCGTTCTTGATCGTTTCCAAATCCCTAAGTTCTGCTGAAAACGCCCAAAATCTTTCATTCTCAGAAAACGCCCAAAATCTTTGCTTGTTCTCATCGTCTCCGTTCTCAACCGTTTCAATCTTTGCTTGTTCTCATCGTCTTCTTCTCAACGGCACTGCTCATCGTCTTCCATCTTTGCTTTGCTCATTGTCTTCCATCATGAGGTATTACAGTGTATGTTTTTTTCCAGATCCAATAGAGAGATGTTTGAACGAAAAACATGGGTGTGTTTGTGTGAATTATGATGATGAGTGCAATAGTGGTAGCATGCAAATTTGGGTCGGCCTTTGTTTATACTATTGTTCAATTATTGTTTATGAATGAGCTCTGGTATTGATTGGAAGATGATATTAATGTGTAAATTCATGAATATTATTAGTTCATATCTTTTTCATGTTGCGTAATAGATTCTAGTGATGACACTGATTTTTGTGATGCGTTTCTTAGCCCTGATGTTCATATTCCATGTACTTTTGGCTTTTTTTTTTGCAGGATATGCACTTAGTTAGTTCTGTTTAAGGGCGAGTTGCAACGGAATTTATTTACCTCTCCGAAGCTATACTGGCAAATAGGTATTGATTTTTAGCTTTATGGTTATCATTTATGCCACTTCAAAACACTTATTTTCTACTTCATTTATATTTTGCTATTTGAATTGAATCTACTCACATCTTTGTATCATCGACATGACTATAGTGTAGACTAATGTAGTTTTACATATGACCTTGTTGTTTGAATAATAGCTTAGCTTCTAATGTCATTGTTCTTGTTGACACCGTTAGCATAGTCTTGTAGTTTGAATAATGGCTTAGCTTCTAATGTTATTGTTCTTGTTGACATCATTAGCATATTCCGAGATGTCCACACTTCCCTTGCACTAGGACAAATAGTTTGACAATGTTTGTATGGTCTTACCAACGAGAAAAGCGCAAGCTTTCCATTTGCCAGTTTTGGATGGAACAGCAGGTTTGCCACGGAAATCAACAGTGCCATCTTGGGTATAATCATCTTTGGTTTCCATTAGAGATGTTATATATTATTATATAGAGATAAAGTATAAGGAAAATGAGAGGTAGCCAGCAAGATGGTAGTGACTAGTGATATATCAAAGAAAGCAATTAATTGAGAAAGAGAAATGGTAGAAGTAGCTATATATAAAGACTAGAGGCTCACTTGTTATCATAAGGTAAACTATAACTTAGTAAACTTTGTCATTGGATTGGGACACATTCACCAAGTAAACTGTCACAAATCCAAACATGCACTAAAACTTATTTTATCTTTGAAATGAAAATTGAGCTATGAATATTAGACTTTTGTATTATGTGTAAGTGTAACTATAACGGCGTTACACCGTAGAAGAATTTGGTCTAACCCCAATGTTCTGCCATAAGTTGTTTAGTACAAAATGCTGTTGCCAAATAGCAACTATAGTGGTGCTACAGCACTATTGTGAATTTTAAATATATGCTATCTGCAATTGACAACGGGGTGTATTGAGAATTACTCAAGTTCATGTTACCGGATGTATTGAGAAATACTCAATTTCGACTTTGAAAAGAGACAAGACTTGAAAAAAAGTTAATAGTGATAAAAATGATGATGTATTGGTGTGTCTATAAGAAGAAAGATCTGTGCGCGTTTTAGGGAAAAAGAATTTCCTAAAATTGATGTTATGTGATTCTGATTTATTTTGGGTGTTTTATATATTTGATTTGCAGTTTGAGAAGCATGATACTTCTTCCATTTATGAAAATCCATGAGGTTATGTTTTTTTATGATGTTTGCTTTGTCTTTTTAGACTGTGTGAGAGCTGAGCCAGTGATTCTCAAGAAGCTAGAGGCTTCACCTAATGGTATTGCTTGCGGAAAGATGTGAGCACTCAGTTTGGCAAGCCTTTTGCACATTCAATTGTCAAGGGTGGGTGGAAGAAGAAGTCAATTTTCTTTGAACTTCCATATTGGAAGTCGTTGTACGTAAGACATTTCCTGGATGTTATGTGTGATCGGTGGATCTGGAACTGACTGTTTTAAAGCTGGTTCGCGAAATGTCGCGGAAGCAAGAGTCGCCACCATCTTTTATTTTCTCCAATAGGAAAGGACAAAAGCACAGAAAAATTCCTTTAAAGAGATTGCTCTCGGTTCGGGAGGTAGGTTATAGAAAGGGAAGGTGTTAGCACCCTTTCTATCCATGGTTATCCATGGGCTCTTAGGTACTTGCTCAATGTGTTTTCAAAATTGTTTGTTTGCTTTTCAATTGTGGGTTTCAAAAATATTCTTTGAAAAGTTTCAATTCAACTCGTACGTCAGAGTGTTTGAAAAGTTTGTTTTGAAAGTTTTTTGAAAGTGTGTTGGTGTGAAAAGAGTTTTTTGTTTTGTTTGAAATTAGAGCAAGTACCTTTGAGAACCTACCTACCCTAAGGAATTAGTCTGTGTAAATGTCCTTTAAGGTAGTGCCATCCCACCATTGAGAGGTAGGTAGCACCACCGTAGGAGGTGTTCGGGTCAATTCGAGTTTTAGGGACGTGGTGGTCACCAGAGCAACAGTAGGACACCTTAGAAGCTACCCTTATGCCATTGATCCTTTATTTTCCGGGGCAACCGTTTCGAGGCAACTGGATCATGTCATGGACATAAGGACTTACTAAAACGTCCTATACTCGACGACCACCTTTCGAAAGGCAACAGTGAGGCGTACCCTAGGGGTGGTGTGTGCGAATTGTGTGTCATTTTCAGTTCATTGTTTGTCTTGTCATGCATTGGTGATCTAACGATTCGATTTTATTTTTGGGCATTCATTCTTTCATGCATATTTATTAACAGTTATATATTTGCGAGAAGATAAATCTAACTATTACAACTGGCGCGGGTCCACATCGCCAAAAAAACCGAACCCGGTTTGACTGAAAGTAAAATAAAGCGAATAAATAAAAGTGCGAGAATTTTAAATTACATGGCTTTGGGGCATATACAGAATTATTTAAACAATATAAAATAAATGCGCGAAATAAAGAGATTAAACAAAATTAGGGCGTTGGACCCTTTAACAAATAATTAAAATTAATCAAGGAATCTAAAATTAAAGTTAAATGAAAAATGGTATTTTTGTGTTTTTTAGATTTAAAAGAAAAAAAGAAAAGTTAATTAAAATTAAAATCCTAGTTCTAATGTCTTTTAAGTTTATTATGAAAATATTGACTTTTAACCTAATTTAATTCTAAATTAATTTATGTGCATTAAATAAATAAATAATATTATTATTAAAAAAAAGAAAATAAAAAGTTATTAAACCTAAACTCTATTATTTGGATTTTAGTTATTAAAAGAATTAAAATCTAACCTAAAATGCAACCCTAGTTTAATTATGAAAAACACTAATACTATGGCAAAAAACAAGGAAAGTTAAAAGGAAAAAGTCATTAACCTAATTCTATGTTTTTGGTTTTGATTTTTATTAAAAGAAATTAAAGTTGAAAACTTAATTAAAACTAAACATTTTACATGTTATTATTTATACAAAAAAAAAAATATTTAAAATAATAATTATTAAAATTTTTGACTTTTCTGATTTTTTGAATGTTTTTTATGTTTTGTAGAAAAATAAATTAATTAAATAAATAGCAAAAAGAAATAAAAGGAAAAATTGAAGAAAGAATAAAAAATGAAAATAATAAGGCAAACCAGGGGGGGGTAGACCCCAGAATTATGAGGTGCAGGCCTGGAAGATTAAGGCCCATTTGCATTGTGGATCATTGACTTTCTGGATCACATGTGGCTTGTTGACTGGCATCCATGATATGCTTTCATCCTGATCCCTGGATTAGATCTCCAAGACGCGTGGCCAATTGATTTTTGAGTGTGCATGGTGTACCCCTATAGTAACGCTGCATGGGAATTAAGATAGAAAAACATTATGGAAATTGTTCTGACCTGGGACTTGAACCCAGGTCATTGAGGTTACATGCGCGTGTCCCTGGCCACTGAGCCACTTTGAATTCATTTAATATATATTAATCAACAAACATTATAAAAGAAAAAGGTTAGTGCTTTTTAAAACGCGCGCAAATTCAAATTCTTCCAATCTGCTTGTGCCACGCCATCATCCCTTCCATTTTCCTGAAACACAAACAAATAAGGCAACGGTTTTGAAACGTAGTGTTAGGGGGGCTAGCAGAAAATAGCGATTAGGTCCCTGTAGCTCATAAATTTGTCGCGAGCATATCTTCTTCTTCGTCTCTAAATGCTGAGTTCAACCATGGTCTTCAGGAACCTTAATTTTTCCTCTACAAAAAGACCCTAATTTAAGAAAGCTGTAACCCTAGGATTCGAAAATGGTGGATTAGCGTATGATTAGCAAAAATGAAATTAAACACCATGAATAGTTTGGAAACTTCACATGGAACAAGAATATCCTATTGAAATGCAATGAAGATGCTTAAAATGGAGAATACGATTTCAAATATTTTGCTGTACAGTTTGAGTTGTGGATACCAGTTCAAGGAGTTTTGATTGATGTTATGAATTGGAATGCGTTCAGAATTGTCTCAGGAAGCTATTGGTATATGAATCAAGGCTTGAAAAGATCCCTAGTAGTGATTTCAGTTTTGCATTATATGGCCAAAATTTCAAATTGTCCATCCACTTTTGAGCGAGCCTTTTGCTGCACTATGGTTAGGGTTTGACTCAATGCATCTCATGGAATAGAATTGGCTTATTCTTTGACCTTAATTCATGCTTGGGAAAGAATTGGTCTTAGGGTTTCTTCCATTAACCATTTTTCCTCCTTTTTAGCCAAAACCTAGACCTAGTGTGCAAATGAACCCTAACCTGATTTCTTGAGTTGGTTCATGATACATAGGAATTGTCCAAGTTCACATGACACTATTCTATTGGCTTTTAAATTTTATTTGAATTTTCAAAGAATTAAAATGAATTAAATCATCAAAAATTAAATAAAATAAAAAAATCAATATTTGGTCTTGAAACTAATCATGGGACACGTGTGTGGCATGACAAGGATGAACCAAGTGGAAAAAATGGGGCCCTTTTGTCAAAAATTGGATTTTCAAAGATAGTTGACTTTTGCCATTTCACAAAATTTTCCCAACTTCTACAAGGCATAACTTGCTCAATTTTTAAGCTTTTCACATGTTCTTGGACATTTTGGAAAGGTCTTTGAGTCCTTTAACCAATGCCTTTGGTCCCATGTCATTTTGATTTACCAATCTCAAGTTATGGTCTTTGACTTAAAGTCCCTTTTTGTTGACTTTTGAAAATGACCTATAATGTTGAAATTGATAACTTTTTGTGAGAGCATTTCTTGGACTTGAAACATGAATATGAATTGTAGGAAATGTCTTTCTCTTCAAAATGAGCTTTGGATGGAATTTTTCTGATAATCCATGTGAAAGTTATGCCCTGGTCAATTTCAGTTGACTTTTTCAGCTGTCCAAATATAGCAACTTTTGCATCTTTGATGATTTCTGAGCCAAATTTTGAGAATCATGATCAAGCATTGATCAAATGATGTTTGTGGCTTCAAAATGATATGTTGACCAAAAATTTGAACTTTTGACTGCCAAATGACCATTTTGCCCCTACAGTTGACTGTAGTGCAATTTAGGGTTTTGAGCAATCTTGAGCTGAATGCCTTGAAACTTGATATGAGGATGCTTGACCATGTTTGTAAGCATATGAGACTTGATTGAGCCTTTGAAAACTTCCTTTTCTTGGTCAGAACCCAAACCCTAGTTTTGACTGTATAGGAGACAGTTGAATGCATAACCCTTGGGGAATTTTGTGACCTTGACTTGACAATTTCTTGAGGAATATGGGAGGGCAAATTTTGGGGTATAACAGTTGCCCCTGTTCAATCTTCTTAGACCTGAGGATGCAGATTGGCTGACGTGCCTTTCGTAATCCGAAGGTAAAAGATGATTGGACACTAGAGTGCCCGGGAATTTGCGCTCACATGTTAGCAATGATGGGGGAATGGGCTTATAGATGCCA